TTGCTTAAAACTTATGTTACCAGTATATAAAAATATTTCTATCTTACCCTGTATTGAATTCAACTTTTCTATCTTTAACATTACTGTCTGAATGATGTTCACAATTTAACATTACTATCTGAATGATGTTCACAATTTAACATTACTATCTGAATGATGTTCACAATTTAACATTACTATCTGAATGATGTTCACAATTTAACATTACTATCTGAATGATGTTCACAATTTAACATTACTATCTGAATGATGTTCACAATTTAACATTACTATCTGAATGATGTTCACAATTTAACATTACTATCTGAATGATGTTCACAATTTAACATTACTATCTAAATGATGTTCACAATTTATGTTCAATCTTTAAAATTTAATAAGGTTACTAAAAAAAATCAATTGTTCAAGAATTATCATTGTTTACTTATTTGACAAGTTTTGAGTTAATGAACTAAATAATATCATTTAATGTTTAACTTAAAAATGAATAAATTTTTAATCAAACATATCAATTTTTTGATTAAAAATTTTTTCATTTTTAACTTAAAAAAATTTTTAATCAACACAAACTGTATGCTCACAGTTTAAATATTTTTTAACTGTTATCAAAACAAATTAATGTTTACCAGTATATTAATAATATGATCTAATATTTTTATATCTTAAACTTTAATGATTTATAAATTTTTATAACTATTCAAATAAAATTCAAATAACTATTTATAAATAAAAAATAAAGTTATTATTTTTAAATACCAAATAATATTATTAAATAATATTAATTTAACAGGTAAACGAATTAACTTTCCTGCATTAGGAAAATTAATTCGTTTCTAAAAATTTTGATAATTTAGAATTAGTTCTTTGCCTTTCAGATAGATCAGTTTTCTGCTATTTTTAAATTTATCATTCGGTTTTTTTCGGTCGGCTGAATGCCTATTCATCGGCCAACAGACACAAAACCGACGTTTAACCGATATTCTTTTGTTAAAAACAGAGTAGCCGATGTTCAACCGATGTAACAAGCTCGGCCCGAGCTCGGCCCACCGGACTTAACACAGGGCTTCGTTAATCTTTATTTGAGCTTGAATAATGTTTATATTTGCTTTATTGATCCTTATTTAATCTTTGGTAATGTTTACTATAACAAAAACATTAATAAACTTTCATTAAGCTTAGTTTTGATTTTTATTTTTTTTTGTGTGTGTGCTTATTTTTAGTCAAATTAAGTTTTTTTAAGTTTTCAATTTTTATTATTTGTAGTCAATATCAGAATAAGATTTATCAAATTTACTTTTCATTTAGGACAAACATATTTGGAGGTGTTGTAAAGTTTTGTTTTTTTCAAACTTGTTCGTCACTAGACATAAGTAGTATTTTTCAACTTATGTTTTGTGGGTTGTGGAGATGCCTGTCACAACAGCTAGTGATATAGTTGGTATTTGCAAAAATACATCAATTCAGTGGTATCAGTACTTTAGAGACATATGTTTTTTTAAAATAATTGATGTTCCTGATAGAAACAGTTAGGTAGTCCTGGCCATGTTATTGAAATTGATGAATCATTAATATTTAAAAGAAAGAATAATGTAGGACATGTCGTCAAACAACACTGGATATTTGGAGCATATGATGTAATGACTAAAAAGGGAATTCAACACGTGTGGAGGATAGATCTGCTGCAACATTGGTTCCATTAATTCAAAGATGGGTGACTGTTGGATCTACAATTCATTCAGATCAATCGGCTACCTACAATAATTTGAATAACATGTGCTTTAAGTATCTCACAGTAAATCACACAACCAACTGTGTAACGCAAATAACATCAAACCATGTCGAGACTTTATGGAGACGAATAAAGCAAAGATTGAAATTTGTGGGTCACAAGGTGATTTGAAGTGGAGTTGAGTTGATGAAGCAATATACAGAAAGTATTTCGCTTTTAAAACTGAGAACCTTTGGCAAACCTTTAAAAAATTTTTTACAACATATACATTTACAACATGGAATCTTCTCTAATATAATAAGCTGTTTTATTTTTTTTTTACTGAAATTATTTTATTTTATTAGAGAGGATACCTTTTTGTAGGTTTTTATACTATCTTTAATATGGGTTTGTTATTTTTAAGCAGAATGATAAAGTTAGATAGATAACTCTGAAGTGGCTGGTTGCAAAAAATACCCATTCAGCTGTATCTCGAAATCTTTCTTATGGTGACATAAATTTATAAAGATTTTATAGTTTTTATAATGAGCAGAACATCCATCAGAAAAATAATAAATTTTATTGATACCAACTAAATTTTCTTTAATGTACTCTCAGTTTTCTTTTAAAATTCCTACACAAAGCATTTATCATGATCATTGTCATCACTTAAACACAGAATGACTTATGCTGAATATTTGTTTTAGAAAATTCTTTAAAATATATAACAACTGGATGAAGTGTATATTGTTGTTTATTCCAATGATAACTTTGTATATCATCTGTATAACAAATTGATAGCTCTTTGCAAAATCTGCCTGTATAATACATTCATTGTAACCTAAATTAATTTTTAGCTCTTTCAAATAGCGAGTTTGGCATTTGGCAATATATGAATGTGAAGTTAGATGAATAATGTGAGAAACAACTAGTTCTTTATATTCAAATAAGTTAACTGATTGAGCAATTAATTGTGACCTATTAGTACTTTTCCATTGGTTGAATTGAATTTCTTCTTTATCAATCTCAATTAATTCCTCTTCTAAAAATGCCTTTAGTTATCATAACCTGAACATTTGGCACATCACACATTTGGCATGAACCATGCATTCATTATTGCTTGTATCACATACTAATGTTGACTTTAAATATTTTTATGTAGTATTCCATTGGACAGTATTTACAAGCAATATTGAGTTTTGATGGTGAATACAAACACATACACAGTGTGTACCGTTTGGTCCCACACTAATACAGCATTTTGGACGCAAGCTACAAAGCGTCGAAAATCCTATTTTAAAATTAGGGTAATTTAATTTTAAAATCAATATAAAGCTCATGAAAGTTGCACAACAATAATCTTTTTTGTTGTGGAGGAGTAATTTTAACCTTAATACAATCTTTTTTACCAGGCATAATTCTAGAATGTTCATCTTGTTGAAAAAAATCTTGAACCATTAGCAAGAATTCCATTTTAACTTTTAAGTTTGCTAGCACGTCGTATAAGATGTTCAGAAACTTCAAATATTCTGAAGCGTATTTTCTAGAACAAGATTCAGGTGTAAGTGTTAATATTTGAACTTTTTTTTTTAAATGGTTCAACTTTAAGTTTTTCTTTCATTAAAGTTTTCCAATAATCAAAATCATTTTCTATTTTTCCAGACTGACTGAAAAAAGTTATCTATATTTACTCCATAAGCATTTACTACTCATTCTTCCATTTTTGTGTAGACTTTGACTAATTTTCTTTTGACTAATTTTATCCAATTGATATTAAAGAGTTGTTTAACTGTTATTTATTACAAGATTTACCTTTAACAAATGATATATCACCATCAATTTCACACTCCATTTCATTATCAGAAACTTCATTACAATTTGAAAAAAACTGAATACATGAGCGATTTCTATCCTGGTTTACAATCTAGGCTTTTGGATTTAAGGTTACGATTCATTTCAAAAGATATGGTTGTTTGACCTAAAATTAAATCATTAATTTTTAATAAACATTATACTCTGCTTCTAAATTTAAATGTATATATATATATATATATATATATATATATATATATATATATATATATATATATATATATATATATATATATATATATATATATATATATGTATATATATATATATATATATATATATATATTAACATTCTTTTTGTGACTTTTTAACATTGTAACACTTATCATTCTATAGTATAAGTATCGATCCTAAAACCTGCTCATGATGATAACAAATAGATTTAATCTCTTCGTATGATGTAGTATGATCAAGCAAGCCAGGTATATAACCCGGTGGGAAATCGGCTAGCGAATAGCTAGCTATAATCGTAACGATAAAGACGATTTGCCCACGAGGGATGCTAGCTTTTTTAAGTTAGCGAAAAGCTATCGATATTTGTAAAGATAAAGACAGCGATTTGACTACAAGGACAGCTAGCTTAATAAGCTAAAGACCCAAAAGCTGTTATAGCTAGCTTCATGTGGTAATAAAATCGCTTTCTAAAAAATTTTGGTATTTAGCTATCAACTAGCTTTAGATTTATAGATATTTTGAAGCTAGCAACAAAGCTACGATATGTAGCTAACGACACATTGCTACAAAATCGCAAAGTTTAAAGTTCAATTATTCTCATAACTAAATAGACTCAATACTAAAAGTCCAATTTTTACAGATGTTAAAGACACCAGGAAAAAATAAAATAAGAAAAAAAAATCGCTTGAAAACTGCTATAAAGCTAGCTAGTCGCTAGCTCATTTCCCACCGGGAAGTATCTTGAAAATCCTTTTCTAGATTATAAAAATCTTTAAATCCTTGTTTTCAAACAAAATATATTTTGTGACATTCATCATTGAAAACTTTTCCAAATCCACAAGATTCCATTTTATCAATATAATATTATTTATTATCGCTAAAAAAGATGCATTGTATATGTATGATTAATTCAATGTGTTCATGGGGTCAAGGTTGTTCAGGATTAAAATTTTAACTTTAATTTTACAACCTTATAAACATAAATCATTCTAATCTTCAATCTTCAAAACATTGTAAATGGCCTTCGGTTATTCTTTCAACGACTCAAATAGAACCTGACAACCTAGTCTAACGTGTCAACTCCACCTTTATATTTGTTGTAATCTAAAATAATACATGGTTTTTCATTATGGTCCATAACAATTTCTTTACTGTGATGGAAGGTTGATAATAATATTACTGCTTTGTTTTTCTTAGGTACATAAGAAACTATAGTAGAGTCATTTTAAAAACCAAAAATGCTAGATTAAACTGGTCGAAGTAGGGCTAGCAATAACTTTTTTGGTATTTTTTCTTTATTTTTTTCAATGGTGCCAGTGTATGTCATTTTACGCCCTAGCAATGCACGTGCAAGATGAATGTTTGTGAAATAATTATCAGCTGTTATGTGTCTACCACTTCCATTTAATTGATCAGTTAGTTCAAGAACTACTTGTGTACCTTGTCCAACATCACTTACTCCATTTAATCTACCAATATATGGTTGCAAATTTATGCAGTAAGAAGTTTCAGCATCACATAATATCCATATCTTCATTCCATAGTTTCCTGGCTTAGTAGATATAAACATCTTAAATGGACAATTTCCCTTAAATGTAACTAGTTGCTCATCAACAGTAAGATATGCACTTGGATTGTAGTTGCTCTTACATTTAGTTGTAAACATTTTCATTATATTTCTTAAAGGTGCAAATTTGTATTTAAACCGTCTTTGATTTCTTGTTTCTCTCTCATCAAATCGAATGCATCGTCGCAAGTTAACAAATTGATCTCTTTGCATTGAAGCAGAAAATGTTGGTATGCCATCTAATTCACTCCAAAGCTCTTTTATGCTTTTAGAATAAAACACTCCGGCTAGAAGAAAAGCTCCAATAAAATCATAAAGCTTATTTACTGTTGTGTCAACCCATACTTCTAGTCTTATTCTACGAGCTTCAGCATTAGTGCAGTTGACAATAATTCTAATCATTTCTGGTGTTATAAAGAGTTTAAAGGCAGTATCCACACTTTGGCCGCAAACCTGAGCTGCAAACCTTGTTGGGCCAGTTGGTTGTCGAACAATATTGTGTGCACGTGGTTGAGCAGCATTTACACGTGGAAGTTATTATATTATATTTTGGCTTTGTCTGATGCGATCTTTCATTTTGGCTTTGTCTGATATAAGCCATCGAATAAAGAAGCGTTAGATTGCTCGTTAAACTTTAAAAAGCTGGACATATAACACATCCCTGTGTAACACCTTTCCAACAACCAATGTATTGATATGTATTTCCGGCTCCTCCATTTGAAACATTATCCGCAATGTTTCCTTAAAAGTTAGGTCCTTTGTTAGGGTAAGCATCTGGACATGGGTATGTAGATTGTGGTTTCCATATCTTTGTAGTGTAACAAGAATCTTTTTTTTGTATAAACATTGGTTGCAAGTTTGACTAAAAAATAAACTTTGAGGCCAGCACGATTGACAAGTTGCGATTTAGACAATTTGAACATTGGACAAAATCGTGTGGGTATCCAACAAACTCATAATTTCCATTCGACTTACCAATGCAAAAGGTTTTTGGACATGGTGGCGCAACGGGTGTAGATCCTTTTTTTGTTACAATAGATTCTGAACTGCTTTGAACATCAACAGGTGCTTCTGAACTGCTTTGAACATCAACAGGTGCTTCTGAACTGCTTTGACCATTTTTAGGTGCTTCTGAACTGCTTTGAACATCTACAGGTGCTTCTGAACTAGTTTGAAGATTTACAGATGCTTCTGAACTGCTTTGAGCATCTCAGAAATGTAAGGATTACACACAGCGATGGATCCAGGATTACACACAACGATGGATCCAGCGGGAGGACGGGTATGGTATAGAATATGCAACCCTAACCACCTCACCCTACCACCACCACCACCAGCAGAATCTTTGCGGCCGTGGCGCAGTTGTTGAGTGCGGCCGTGGTGCAGTGGTTTGAGCGCTCGCTTTATAAGCAGGAGATCCAGGTTCGAAACGAGTCTTGGACATTCTTTTGAGTCACGGTAAGGAAGGAGTCGTGAACTTCCTGGTTAAATGCACTTCCACTGTGTTCTGTTGGGGCACCTAAATAAAAAAAAAACAAAAAAAATCTGAATGTCCTTTTTTTTTTAGAAGACGCAAATGTGATACAAAATAAATTTTGTATTTTGTATCACATAAAAATAAAACATCCCCGCTCCCACTAAAAATTCCTGGATTCGTCACTGGTTATACACTATAAAAAAAGTATACGTTGAAAATTTTAAAACAAAAAAAATAAATTATAATTTCAAAAAGCTTTTTTAAGCCATATTCTAAGTTAGAAAATGCTTTTTGAAATCGTGATACATTTTTTTAATTTTTAAACGTATACTTATTTATGTGTTACAATTTCTAACACACATCGCTTGTCTTTTGTTAATGTAATAAAAAGGTACTTATGTACTTAAATAAAATGTTTTGGTGAACTAATGAGTTCACCAAAACATTTTATTTGCAGGAAAACCTCCACTCAGTTAAAAATGGAATATAAGTCTAGCATTAAATGAGTTTAAAAATATGGCATATTATTTAAATAACCTATGCACAGAGCAACTTATTTGTTTTTGAGTTTGATCTGGTATGTATGTGCAGTTTATTTAAAACCTTTATTGTACTTTTTTATATGTAACATGTTTTTTGTATATTATTTCATGTCCATTCGATTATTAACATTTGAAGTTAATTCTACCTCTGTGGTACCACTGTTCTACCTCAATTCTTGTTAACGAATGGAATGTAATTCTCATATATATCAAATTGGTGTAAAAATATAACAGTAGTTAGTAACACCCTTTACGTGAATATTTTCAAAAAATAACAAGAAGCTGTAAAGCTTCCTTGAAACAAAGTGTTAGTTATTTCGGTGCCGGTTGCTTGGAATTATCAAATATAAATAAAACGTACTATACTACTTCGCGTCCATAACAAGATATAATGGCATCAGTTGTAAGAGTTTTCATCTGCTTAACTTTATTTTCAACATTTCTTGTGGTTTTTTCAGGGTAAGGTGTAATTTTAAAAAGCTATTCCTATTTAAAATTAAATGTAAAAAACAGTTTGATTTTAAAATTACACTGAAAAAAATGTAATTTCAGCATAATAGTTGACTAACGTTAAATTAGTTTGCAGCAAATTGGTGTAAAGTTAATTTAAAATATAATATAAAAGAAAATATGCAGCGTAATTTTAGTTTATTTTTAATATAAATTTTTTAGAAACAATTCTTACATTTAAAAATGTTATTTAACGTAGTTATATTCTGTATTCCATTATGCCATAATTCTTTATGAGAATCTGAAACAACTCCGCATAGTTTTCAGCCTTATAATTACTACAAAGCCATGAATAACTGCAACAAAACTATTCCAAGCCACTCTCTCTATTCAGTTCATGAGCTTATCAAACATGTCACACAATATGATCTTGATCTGTGGTTCAATGAAGATACCTGCTCTAAGTGCGTCTTAGTATTACAGCTGTCTGAGGTAAAGAAAAAGTGGAAATTTTTATGAAACCCCCTTGAAATTCACCATTTTATAGTCTTTGATGACCTCTAATCTGAGGTCGCCACACTTTAAGGCACAAGAAACTTTTTGATACTGGTGTAGTCCTCTTTGAGATAAGAGTAAACTATCAAATTAGACAGGTAGTTGTTTCTGTTGTAAAACAATTCTTCTTTCATTTTAACAGCCATTCACTCAGGTTACTCCTAAAAAATCTTTGGGTTTTTTTTGTGATTTTTATAGTGTTCTTGTTTACTTTTAGTTTTTTTTTCTTGTTTGTTTTAGTTTATTATTTCTATACTAGGTTATATTTAATAATAAAATAATCTAGTTTTAATAAAATGTGAACTTTATTAAATTTTAATTGTTTTTTTCACAATTCAAGTTTTATTTAATTTTAATTTTAAAATTTAGCAACAAAATAAATTTTTATTTCAAAAACCAGCTTTTTATTTAAAGTTCATCCACAAAAGAATCCTAAATATAAAATTCTGATAATTCTAGATAACTTTTTGGCAAGATTAGTTGTTGTATTGCACACATATCCAAGTTATGAGATATGAACACTAATTTTTTTTTTCTTTTTCATTTCACAATCTTTTTTTTCTAACACATAAATATTTGCATGATTGGTAAAACTTCTTTTGCAAGCTTAACTTAATAGCTGACCATAAAAAACTTTTTGGAAAAACTTCTATTCTATATTAAGAAAATTTACAGGAATAGAACACTTCACATGCAACTGCTATATAATTTTAAGTATTGCATAAAATGTTTTTCTTATAAACAAATTTTTTGATCATTTATCTAGAATTACTGTTAACTTACATTTTGTTCCCCGTTTAAATATCTTCCTTCCATGATAATGGTGGTCAAACAGATAAGCAGCCATATGAATTTATTAAATATTTATTATCTTGCAAACACAAGAATATTTGTTCATACAACTTTTGATAACAATAAAAAGAAATTTACTAAAATTTATATATAATAATAAAAAATAAATTAACAACAACAACAAAATAAGTTAAATTTTATTTTATATTATTGCTGTTTATACTATTTTATTTTAATAATTTGTTTTGTTGATTATTGATTTTTTTACTTGAAAAGCGCAAATATTAAGATTGAAGCAAACCAATATAAAATATATATCTAAGTTTATATGTTAATCAATCAATATATTTCGATAATAGTTCTTACAGTTATTTACAAATAGTTAAAAACTAATTATAAGTAAATACCTTAAAATAGTTTTAATAATATAAATAATAATGATAATAATGATGATGATAAATTAACATTTATAAGAAATAATGATAAGGAAATTGTACTTAGGTCGTTAAAGAAGTTCTTAGAACTTCATTTATAAAGTTACAATAAGACAGGAAATAATTAAATATTTATGTATAATTGTAAACATTAAGTAATTGTAGAAATATTTTGAATGTTTATTTAAAAAGTTATTTAAATTTTATCATATACATTTGAAAGAAAAAATTTAAAAATAGAAAAACTTGAATCTTGAGCATATATTAAAACCGGTGCTCTACTTGGAGTTTCAGCACAAGCCATAATCATGAATTGGTTTTAGTTCATGGTGACTAAGCTCCAAAATATATTACGGTTGCCAAATGGGCTACTTTATTTAAGGATGGTAGAGAGAGTCTTGAAGATGATCCTCGCTCAAAGCACCCTTAAACCACATATACAGCTGAGAATATTGATTGTGTGTGAGCCATTATTGAAGAAAATCCCCATGAACACATGATATAGTTGAAGCCCTGGCATAGATTAATCGTTTTACAATCAGCAAAATCATTCACAACGCACTTAAAAAAAGAAAAACTGACATCACGTTGGATTAACCCCATTAGTTAACCGATCAAAATCGAAAGAATAGCTAGTTGGGTCGGTAAAGGTGAAAGTTTAAGAACTATAGTAAGATTCGATAGGTTTCAGCCAAAAAGCATGTTCTACATCTTCTTCAAAACAACAGTTGTTGTTCATTTGGGTTATGTTGAAAAGAGAGACATCATTACTAGCGAATATTATATAAAAAATTGTTTGAAATCTCTTATATGCGAAATAAATAAGCAAAGACCTAAAACAGACACTCACAATTTCAAATTTCTCTATGATAACACTCAACCCTATGTAACTGAAACCATCACAAATTATATAAAACAAGTGGGATTACAATAACATGCAATTTTGTATAGATAATGATGGACATTACTTTTAATAAAATTAAATTAAAAAAAACTCTTTTTTTTTTTATAGGGGAGTTCTCTGAACTTTCCTAACAACCTAGGTATAAAAATAAACCATTATTAATTTTAAAACAACAATTAAATATTACGCACAGACAGGAAAGTTACAAACAGTTATGTACTGACAAAACATAACAGCCTACCATGTAACTAAAACAATTACTGGATTAATAAATATAATAATCTTAATATCAATAATCATAATAAAAACAAAAGTAATATAATTATTAGGGCTGTACCGGATTTAATTTTTTCAAATCCGGCCGGAGCCGGATTTGCCGGATTTCTACTGACAGATCCGGCCGGAATCGGAGCCAGAGCCGGATTTCAAAACAAAACTACAGGAGCCAAAATCCTGTACATCCCTAATTGGTTTTGAGCATAGTCAACAATGTGGACTATTCAGAATACCAAGTGACTGCTGTTTTCTGTTAAACTTCATTGTTGTTATTTAAAACGTTTTATAGCAATTTCTATATATAAACTAATAGAAATTCTAAAGAAATTCTATAGGCCATATGTTTTAAAAGTTTATAGTAATTCTATTGAACTTTTTTTCCGGGATTTTGTCACTTCGCCACTGTAGTGGATCATTGTGTCTATTTATTTCTGGTTCTTTCGGATATTTCCTTAGCTGAGTTTCAATGCCTTTTAGTAATTGTTGTTTATGTGCCCTGCCACCAGCGGACGTAGACTGAATAATTTTATCAATAAATTGCCAGAGTAATGATGATGATGATGTAAAAAAATTATTAAGCCCGGCTTATTTTGGTGGATTTTCTTCAGTTTTGTTAATCTTCTGTTCAGCATGCTCAGATTGACTTCAATCTTGTTTTTTCAGCTGTCAGTGTTGCCTGTAATGAGGAGAATTTAGTTTTAAATTGTGAGTCAACCAGCCTCGTCAGTATATAAAGAGGTTTCTCTTTTCAATGCTTTTAAAACGCTCATCCAATCACTTGATTAGGGTTGACATCATAGTCTTTATACCTGCATCATTCTAGAATATCGTGTGTCTTCCCTTCAGAATTTTTTGTTGCGTTGTTGTTTTAAATTAGACTTAGCTTATTATATTATAATGAAATATAAATACAAATACCAAAACAAATATGAGGTTCATAAAGTATAGAATTACAAAAAAAATTGATTTTTATAAATAAAATATTAGGTATACATGTAAACACGGGCAAAAAAAATGTAATAAATGTTTGACAAAATTCAAAACTCGGCTAAAATTATGCCGGATTTGCTAAATTTTTGCCGGAGCCGGATTTGGGCCGGATTTGTAAAAATGGCCGGATTTCGGCCGGAGCAGGAGCCGGAGCCGAAATCCGGTACAGCCCTAATAATTATTTCATTAAAAAAATAATAAATAAACGAAAAAAATCTTAATAACATTCACAAATAAAAGCGTGTCTCATTTTCTCAAATACATGTCTCATATAGATAATAAAAGGTTATTCTTGGGTTTAAATTTAAAAATATTACCAAGTATTGCTCAATAATAAAATTTTTATTATTGAGCAATACTTGGTAATATTTTTAAAAACTAAAATTCTAGTAACGGCGTTCCAATGCTGCATCAAAAGTTTGTACAAAACATATGCTAAACTTTTTTTTCAAAGGGAAAGCGCAATTATATATTTTTTGATTAATGGCACTTGGAAATCTAAAAAAAATTTTGCTTTTGCTGGTTAAGTAATTAACTAAAGTTTTTATTTTTTCAATAATTTATATTTTTTATTTGTTACTTTGTAATTTTTTATAAATAAAAAAATCATTTTTAGTTGCAAAGCCGCAATCAAAAATTTAAAAAATAATAATATTAAAAAAATTTAATGTATTTTGATTCATTTATAAAAGTGTTAAAAAAAGAAAAAAATTAGTTTATATTAAAAACTTAAAAAAAAAATTAATATTAAAGTTAATTTTTTAATTTAACTTATTTTGCTGTAATTTATGATATTGCAGTAGTTTAAAAAAATTGTCTTTAAAAAAAAATAAAAAATGAAGAGAATTTTATGAAGTTAAATTTACATTAAGGTAATGTGTTAAGCATTTTTTATTTAAGACAGCCTGTAGCACTAATAGCTGTATGCAAACAAAATAAGAGAAGTAGGTGGCCCAATATTGTCATCAGCTGAAATCGTAAATATCTTATTAAAGAATAGTATTCAGAACACAATCGCCAGTTTTAACAGAAAAAAATGTTTACCAAATTTATTTATT